CAATCAATCAATCAATCAATCAATCAATCAAAACCCTTTTTTTAAGTTTTTTGTTTATTTATTTTCAAATTTTGCATCTTTGTTTTTTTTAAAACACCTCATTTCCCTTCAAAAAAAACAAATCCAATTCTAAAAAAAATACAGGGTACTCAGTGACCATATATCTCATGATAAAAAATGTCAAAAAAAAAAATCCAGCTTTTCTTTATATACATATTTTTAATTATGTTTAAATCGATTTTTGTTTTTGATTTTTTAAAAATCCTAAACAACGTCGGATTCCAAAACAAAAAATATAGGGGTGTAGGGTTTTCGAAGCCCTACACCCCCATATTTTTATTTTTATTTTTTTGAGTATTTTTTAGGGGTAAAAACAAATATTCAAAAAAACAGGCCGCGGACCGGGCCTCGTTGGCCGCGGCCGGGATTTTTGCCCGCGGCCGCGGCCGCGGGTGTCACATAGCCCAGTAGTAATTAAATAGAAAATGCTGACCCCCCAATCTCATCAACTACCATCTTCACCCGAATAGAATGCCCGGTCATTATCGCCGCACCTGGACTGAAAAGTGCCCCGAATACAGGTCGGGTGAAGACGGTAGTAGAACAGGGTTGATGCATCATCACAACCGTTGCATTTGACTCTTCATAAAATCACTAGCGCAATTCAGCTACCAAGAACAAGGCCCATTGGAAACATCTAGCGTTGGAGGAGCCTTCAAGATGTGCTGCCAGCTAGAACTTAACTACTTGGAGGTACGCATCCAATCAAGAAAATCAATCAAGTCAATCAATTCAAGGTATGATCACAAAGCGCTAGGCATTACCTGTGCTCAAGGATGGAAGAGGACTTAGAGGAGCCTTTCACAGAATATAGTTTGTGCTCAAGAAAACGGGTGCAAGCCCCATGCATTGCCCAGATTCACGCTTTTAGCTCATCGTCAAACAGCTAAGATTACTATAGCAGCATAGCTACTATACCGTAAGTCTGCGGCTTTGGGCCCGAAATGAGCACACACAATATCATATGAAATGTCACCTTCTTGCCTTTGTCTTCTCTGTCTCCAACACCATAAACTGCCGTTTTTTTAGAGTGAGCTGGCGACAACATTTTCAGTTTTTTAGTTTGAATCTTTTCGGTTTGTTTTGTGATTGCTCTGATTTGCCCTGCCCTTTCTTGCAACACAATGCTCTCCAATGCCATGCGTTGACTTGCCCACTTTGCCTATAGAACAAGAATTCCCACCAGCAAATAGTGTCTTTTATGAGCAGAAGGATTGGGTTCATCTCCTTGGTGTGAAGATGAGCTGATGTAGTGAGGAAGTTGATATTAACACCATGACAATAAAACTCATGCCATCTTCTTCATAACATTACCATTGTGTTCTCCAGCGTCTTTTTTCACTCGAGCAGGTCCATTTCATTCCACAGCCAATATTCACAGATTAGGCATATTCATTGTTCAATGCCACCTTGTTTCAGATTGGTTTTCTGTTTTCGGTTTTTTTTTTTTTTTTTTTTTTTTTAACAAAAGACAAATCATCTCTGAACAGCCTGCAGCGCCAAGGGGCGGCTCATGCTTGTAGGTATGCCTACTGTTGGTGAGGCCTGAGGGGAGCATCACCTGCTGGCAAAGAGGGTCAGCGTCCCTTACACGAGCATCAACAAGATCATGCTATCACCATGCCAAAAGCCAACCCCTTCAGCCGTTTCTTGGCTGCCAGACTTGAACCACCAGTACGTTTCCCAGCCATTTTTCTAAGACGCGCAATGCATGCAGCCACGTCAGGCAGGATGTACTGAGGTGTCGTTTCGCTGGAAATTCATCCAGGCATGCAACCCGTTTCGCCTGGAGGCCGTGAAACCGCACCTCGGTACATTCCGTCTGCATGTACGGCACCGCGTCTTAGGACATCCATTCCATTAAAAATTAAAATGGACATTTTATATTTTTTTTAACGAAACTGAAACCGACTTATTTGTCCCAAAAAATTGTCACATTTTTAGCTCCTGAGGTTCCGGCATTCTCCCAAAAAATGTGACTTTTTTTGGGCCAAACTCCGTTTCGATGTCGTTCAAACTTCAAAAAATAATAAAATATCAAATGTCCATTTTTTGATAAAATGGCTGTTTTAGGAAAACGGCTTGGACGCATACGGGTGGTTTAACCCGAAGGCCTTTTTTTTTTTTTTTTTTTTTTTTTTTTTTGAAGACAGCTCTTCGCATCTCCACAGACTATTCCCTACTGTTTTGCTGGGGAATTCCATAACTCCGAGTCAGTCTATAACCTAAACCATGCAAGCTCCAGCAATGTTGCTTTTGGAGGGAAAGGGTCCAAGAGGCTTCCCAACATATACTCCTATAACTTCGGAGACATAATGTATATTAGCATAGAGCCAAAGTAGCTTCCATACCGACTTGTTTGACAGCATCTGGCTGTGATTGCTGTCACATCCATCCTGGAAAGTCCACGTGCAAGTATCTGCCCTACGCTTCCCCTTCCAGAACATGTACACGGGTATCCGTCAGGAAAAGAAACATAAGAAGACGAATACCACTGAACTTTGCGGACTACGTGCAACTATTCGATCATGTATATATGTTATATAAGCTAGCTGTTGAGTTGGCTTTCAAATTTTCCTTTCCTCCTCATCTTCTCTTCCCATCCTCCATACGCGCTTCTTTCGCCAGCAAGAGTTTCCGCACTGCCCCCACAAGAAGTATCAAAGAGCAGATTATCACCCAGCCCTAGCATGCTTTTAAAAATATATATATTTTTACTTCTTATTTTATTTTATTTATTATTATTATTATTATTATTATTATTATTATTATTATTAAGATCCTATAACAACCATTTTTCCAAAATGGAGATTTTGTTCTCGTTGATGATTGAACATAATTGGACTGTCCTGATGCAGCCCAAAAAATGCCCAAAATTCTCTTCTGAGGGTACGGAGTTTTCCGAAGAGAATATTGGACATTTTGGCAGGCTACATCTGGGCAGTCCAGTTTTGTTCAATGAAAACAAAAATCTCCATTTTGACCTAATGGTGTTTTTATCGACTCCGCAATCATGTCAGTCGTAGGTTCAGTTATATGATTTACTACCATCTTCACCCGAATAGAACATCTGGTCATTATAGCTGTATTCAGGGCAACTTTCAGTCTTCATACAGCACTAATGACCAGGTGTTCTTCTCGGGTGAAGACAGCAGTATAGTATTTTACTATTTTCCGCATGATTTTGGGGTTGGCAGTGGGGAGTGGCTTTGCCCTTCTGTTTAGTTCCTGGCCCCAAGAAATGAAAGTGGGGGGGGGGGAGAGGGGGGGGAGGAACTGGCTTTGCACTTCTGTTTAGTTACTGGCCCCAAGAAATGAAAGGGGAAAAAAAAAAAAAAAGAACAGACAACTGAGACAAGATAATTGTTGTACCTTAAAGTGCTTCATCAATCCTGCTTGGCTTTGAAGTTGCTGAAGGCGAACCTCTCCATCTTCATGCCACCCAATATGTTGTGAATTTACAAAGCGAAATGTCGTCTTGCTCCCCACGAATTGCTTGTACACGCCCCTTGTCGGAGCCCTGACTTGACAAATAACAAGTTGAGGCCATCAACATCAAATGGAGGCCATGCTAACAACTTCACAAAATGACAAGCAAAGATTGTTCACAGTGTTCGACGGACCGGAAAGAAATATACTCAACCCTTAACGACAATGTCCAAAACAGTGGCTACTTCCTCTGAAGTTTCTTGAATGATTGTATGATGTCACTCTTGCCTCACATCCCACGTCATTATCTCATCACTAAATTGTTTTCGCTTTAACTGGTTTAGAGTCAGATGTTGCTGTATTACAAGCTTATATGTTCTGAGTCTTTTGACTATTCTAAGAAAAATTCTAGTATGTATATTAATACATTTCGCTAAATGACGCTTATCTGACAATCGCCTCAGCTTCCATCTCTCATGACATTCTCATGGTATCACACTTTATCTCACGCCCATCTTTCACTCTCTCTCGTAACAACATTCACAGAGCAAGTTATCTTCTCTTCTTCTTCTTCTTCTTCTTTTTGTTGTTGTTGTAAAACATGTCCTTGTGGTCCTGGCTCCTTGTCCATTCTGGGGACCATCAGTCTGGTTCCTATTCCCCCGGCCAGTCAAGAATGAAATATATAGTATACACACTCCCACCTCCTTCCGTATGGCCGAAGGATCCCTGACCAGCATTGATTGCTCCCAAGTAAGGGGGATTGACTGTCAGCTTGCCCTTCCCAAATATTCCTCTCAGAGTTTCAGGCTCCACACAGGGGCCTGCCAGATAGAGCTTGACGCAACAAGAAACAGAAGAGATCAGCTTTGTCCCTGAACTTGTGGAATTCTGGAATTCATGTTCATCCTGCTGCTATTCCTTCATGATCTTCTTGGTGGCTCACTGCCTTGCAGCTCTGGCTGATGCCACTTCTTCCATCTCAGCATGTTATTTGTTGTACTCACGATCTTGCCACGGATCGCCATTCTCTTAGGAATGCTCGTCTTTTGATTGCGTACTTCTCTGGCCTGTACTTTGTTAATGACGTGATCTTTCACCATCTGCTACAGATTTCGATCGAGGGAATAGAGGTGGCAAGGGAGGAAATAACAGCAATTTATTTTTTGAACGAAGTTGAAAACTAAAAACTTGGCCCGATTTAGGTCTATATTTTCAGCTCCTGAGGGTACGGCGTTCTGAAAACGCCCTACCCCCTGGATGCAAACTAAGTCCAGATACATCCAGGGGGGTACAGCGTTTTCAGAACGCCGTACCCCTTGGAGTCCAGCTAAGTCCAGAGACATCCAAGGGGTCCGGCGTTTTAAGGACGCCGGACCCTCAAGAGCTTGAAATTTCCACCTAAATCGGTCTAATTTATGAGGTTTCGGAGTGCCACCTTCCTGAGTAGTCTGAACCAGACCTCCTTGCTGCCTTTGAGACTCCGGGGGGCGTTAGAGAGAAGTAGGGTAGTTAGAGGGGTGGTGAGGAGAAGAGGATAGGCCACAGTTTCCGGACTTTGTTCCAGATCCAGGCCGCTTCAGGGCAGAAGAGAAGGCAGTGTGGGATATCTTCCGGTGTGCTGTTGTTGCAAAGAACACAGAGTTCTCGTGCTATTTGGGTCTTGAGTGTTTCCTCCTTTTGTGGAGCCACTGATTGACGGGTAGAGCTGCGTGTGCTATGAGCCATTGGATGCTGCTCTGATAAGGAGGTATTTGGCCCATGGGATGGTGAAGGATACTGTGGGATCTAGGCCCAAGATATCTCTCCATTTCTCAATTACTTGATAGCTATCTTAGTTTTCTTCATAGGCAAAATAGAGGAAAAAGGATTTCACTGTCTCTCATAGCATTCACAGACTGAGCGCTGCTTTAAAGAATTCAAAGAAAAGACATCCTTGTAACCTTAAACCACCAGTACTTGGCCCAGCTATCGGCCGCAGAAAAAAAAAAAAAAAGAGTAGAATTTGGGCGTTCCTGTAGTAGTCCGTACGTTTTCTAAAATTGTGGCACGTTAACGGGCACGACTCGAGGAATTACTGGTGGTTTAAACCACCAGTACCTTTCCCTGCTTGCAAATCCGACGCGCGGCGGTTAACACGGAGGCCCCATTCAGCCTCTGGCGCCGGCCAGGTACATCAGCCGCCCTTGGCGTGCAGCGCCCACGACCAATGTATCAGAAAGGTACTGGCGGTTTAAGTAGAGGGTTGGCAAAATTGCCAACCCCTCGCAACCCCACACCCTAACCTGGGGAGGTGATAGTGTGGTAAGGTTTTAAGGACCTAACGGGTAAAATAAGCACTCTCTTCTTTTTTCCAGAGGTCACACGGGACTCATTGCAGAAGGGCCATCTCTCCCAACGCTCACACGCCACCTATTTCGCAGCCTCACTTCTTTCATCTTTATGATAAAAAGAAAATAGTCATTAGATCTTTTTGACTCCCCATGGATCGGAATGTCATGGGGCCTGTAGCTCAGTGGATTAGACTCATTAGAGCACGTGGCTACGAACCACGGTGTCGGGGGTCCGAATGGAAGGCCACTAAAAAACTTAGCTCAGGGAGCGTGGACGGAGGAGAGGGCCCCAACGGAGAAGGGGAACATACACCCTGCATTTCGAGTCTGCCCGAGTGCAGATTATGGTTTGTTTTGCTTCCCAGGACCTTCCATGAGCGAAACTACTGTCCTGAAAATGCTACTCGTCACATGCTGAAGGCCAGCTGACCCACAATCGCCTGGCATACCCACCTGATGGCTGTGCCACAGCAGCTAACCCCCCAGCTGAACCCATTGCGGGTCAGCTGGCTGAATTGTAAATCAGACGGGTGGGTTGATGGTACGTAGCCAGCTGAAAGCCATCAGAATATGGATGGTCAAATCCTACGCACCAAGTTACCAACACTGTCAATCTACGGGCCAGGCACCACTGATGCTATGTTCGTGCTTGGAAAGCATGAACCTTGACTTAATGACGGCCAGGTTCGTGCCTTCTTAGCATGAATATACCATGAGTGGGGCCTGCTCCTACAAACTGAGAAGGTGCAAGAAGAGTAAAAAACCTACAAGATATATAAGGGTTTAAATCATGGAGGGTCATGGCTGCATAGTCATGACCAACACAACCCCAAGAGATGACATTTCACAAAATGAAGGCAATGAACAACGAATGTCAGGATGCCCCGGGGTCTGATCCAGAATAAAGTCACTAAGTCTGTTAACACATGTATCAAACTCATCGCATATTACCTTCTGCAGCACATTGTGCCACACCTACTTTGGTCGCTCGCTCGCTATGACCACACGCAGTCATCAGGGTTAGAGCTTAAAACCCAGGATGGGTTTGTAATACACGTCATAGTGGTAAGAATCCAGAACAGAGGGACAATGTTGCAAAGAACAGTCTTTGCACATAATGGAGATCACATTGTGAGTTTCCTGAGGTCAAGGCCAGAGGCGAAAATGGTGAACCACCTCCGCAATGCAAATGTATCTCACAAAGTCAAGATAAGGGTTCAAATCATAATAGACTCCACATAGTCATGACCAACAAGATC